TATATATATATATATAGCATTTAAAAAATAAACAGAAATAATCATATATTTTTTATTTAGTAATTACATTTTTATATTAATTTTTTATTTTTATTTAATTTTAACTTTTATAATTAAATAATTTAGGGGTTTATGTTAAGTTACAAATAGCTCACAATCGTACATGTGTACTTACATTTAACTGCACTCAGCCTAGATCTTTTAATGTGCGTCTCATGTAAACATCCACTACAAAACCTGTCCAAACTAGATCATGTGAATCTCAAACTTTCCTTTGATCTTAATTAGATCCCCAACACAATCATCTGAAGAGTTGATTCTCGATCACAAACATCACAAAACATCTGCTGGATGTCGACGGGGAATGTTTTCGCTTCACACCAGAGAAGAGCAAACGCTGTAGAAATGACACATCCAGATGTAAACCCACAGTTAGACGTCTGACAAACACGTGAAACAGACCGAAAGAGACGGGCGGCACAGAAAGAGAATTTTAAATAGATTTTAGAGGAAAGAGAACGAGCGCGAGCGACGTGGTGGTCTGTCACGATGTTAACGGATTGATTCTCATTAAGTGATATAAATGAGTGTCTCTCTTCAGACTGTCTGAGCTTTAAACAAACCACAAAGACTTTAAGACTTTAAACTTCACAATCCTCCACAACCCATGGACTAATGCATCAACATCCTGACTCACAGGAAGTGCTCGTGTTCCTTCTCAAAAGCCTCTCTACCGTCTCCAGAAGGCCTGAGTCTTTGAAGAAAGCGAGCATTTAAGTCTCATTTTTGAAGTGAAGGAGAGCTGAAGGTGAGCCAAAAACCTCCTCGACTCATCTAAAGCACAGCCTGACTCACAATGAACACTGCACATTTATACTAGTCTCAATATTACAAAGACGCTTCATTTCACAGCTAGAGTAGACCATCATTAAACTGGTCATGTGACTCAGAGAGCCACTCTGATTGGCTGAACTCTACAATGCTTCCTGTCAAATTAAATGCTGCAGCGAAATCTAGTGAGCTGACTATCTAGACAGTACTTTATGCATTATTATAGTTAACAAACTAAAACTGAAATTAAAACTATTAAAAAACGTTTGTTTTGCTATTATATCGTATCGACCGAAATTAAGAAATATATCGTGATATCAATTTTGGCCATATCGTCCAGCCCTAGTTTTGCTTGAAATAATTGTTAATTGAAAATATTTTTATTTTAAAATTTCTAAGTTAAAAGTAAAATTTGAACTAAATGAGTAAAATAATATGAAATAAAATGAGTAAAAACTATATAGACAAGTAGGCTTTAAAAAGGTAATTTTTTAAATAATAAAACAACAAAACTACCAAAAAATTTAACATTCACAAGATTCAAAATCTTTATAAAAACTATAATAGTATAATATGCTAAAAACACTGATGCATAGTTGCATTCCCAACAAAATGCATGTATGCACTTTAGAAAAGGAAATCCCAGAATGCATTGCAACACGCACAATAAAAAAAAAAAACTGCATATTGCAAACAAACCATTTAACACCAGTATGCAAAAAAAAAAACTAATTAAAAATGCAGCCAAAATATGCCCGATATTTGTGTGCTGGCTGTTTTTATGCGTATTAGAGCAGCATATCATTAGCCAGCTTCAACCTCTGCTGTAATCAATGATAAGCACTAGTGAGGGCTCTAGTGTGCTTCTCAAGAGAGAGCGCTAATGAGACGCTGCCTATAACGAACGATTCAATCACTCACGTCTGAGCTTTCATTCGAGTTTCACGTCTGTTAGGATGCTGCCTATGTAGGCGGCTCACTAGTATGCGTCTCAATCACTCTTGTGCACTCAAATGTTCACCACATAAAAACGTGCATAATGTCACTATATTGACTTACCAGAAACGTTGATGTGTTTTCTTCACTCTCAAAGCGTCAGAAATGGAGGATGAGCAC